GGAAGAGGGGGGAGGAGGACGAGGACGAGGGGGACGAGGATGATGAAGGCCAGGGGGGGGAGCGATGGGAATGCACCTGAAGCAAGCGGGGCGGGGGCGCGACGCGGCCCCGCCCCGCTTGCTTCAGATGCATTCCCATCGCTTCAGATGCATTCAGCGGGGCGATGGCCGAAAGAGCGCCCCTAAAGCTCCCAAGAGCGCTCCAAGAGGACCCGAAGAGGCGCCCAGACCGCCCCAAGAAGCCTCCAAGAGGCTCCCAAGAGACCTCCAAGAGGCCCCCAAGAGGCGTCAGGAGGATCCCCGAAGCACCCAAGATGCCCCCCAGACGCTCCAGACATCCGCGGAGGCTATTATGTCTGTCCGTTTTCCTCCTCCTTCTCCTCCTCCTCCTCCTCCTCCTCCTCCTCCTCCACCCACATCTTCGTCTGGATCTCCCCCGTGCTCGGCCGGGTGCCTGGGTGCCCGGGTGCCAGGGTGTGTGTGTCTGGGTGTCCGGGCGTCCGGGTGCCCGGGTGCCTGGACGCCCGGGTGGGTGTCGGGGAGTCCGGGTGCCCGAGTGCCCGGGTGCCCGGGTGCCGCCTGGGTGTCCGGGCGTCCGGGTGTCCGGGTGCCCGGGTGTCCGGGTGCCCGGGTCCGGGCGTCCGGGTGTCCGCTCGTCCGGGCGTCCGGGTGCCCGGGCGTCCGAGCGTCCGGGTGCCCGGGCGTCCGGGTGCCGGGGTGTCCGGGTGGTCCGGTGTCCGGGTAAGTCCCGGTGTCCGGGTGTGGTCCCGGCAGTCCGTGCGTCCGGGCGTTCCGGTGCGTCTGGGCGTGTCCGGGTGCCCCGGTGCCCGGGTGCGTGGGTGTCCGGGCGCCCGGGCGTCCGGGCGTCCGGGTGTCCGCGCGTCCGGGCGTCCGGGTGCCCGGGCGTCCGAGCGTCCGGGTGCCCGGGCGTCCGGGTGCCAGGGTGTCCGGGCGGATCCGGGTGTCCGGGTGTCCAGGTGTCTGGGCGCCCGGGCGTCCGGGCGTCCGGGCGTCCGGGTGCCCGGGTGTCCGGGTGTCCGGGTGTCCGGGTGCCCGGGCGTCCGGGCGTACCCGGGCCTGGGCGTCACCGATGCCTGGGTGTTCCTGGTGTCCCCGGGTGTCCCGGGTTGCCCCGCGTCCCGGGGTCCCGGTGTCCGGGATGTTCCCGGTGTACCGGGCGTCCGAGCGTCCGGGTGCCCGGGCGTCCGGGTGCCAGGGTGTCCGGGCGGATCCGGGTGTCCGGGTGTCCAGGTGTCTGGGCGCCCGGGCGTCCGGGCGTCCGGGCGTCCGGGTGCCCGGGTGTCCGGGTGTCCGGGTGTCCGGGTGCCCGGGCGTCCGGGCGTCCGGGTGTCCGGGTGTCCCGGTGTCCGGCCGTCCGGGTGTCCGGGTGCCCGGGTGCCCGGGTGTCCCCGGTGCCCGGAGTCCGGGTGTCCGGGTGTCCGGGCGTCCGGGCGTCCGCGCGTCCGGGCGTCCGCGGGTGCCCGGGCGTCCAATACAAATAAAAAAAAAAAAACGAACAAGATAGCGTACCGGTGCCAGCTCCAGTGCCGGGGTGTCCGAGGCGTCCGGGCGCCGGGGTGTCCGGGTGTCCGGGTGCCCGGGTGTCCATGTGTCCGGGTGTCCGGGTGTCCGGGTGTCCGGGTGTCCGGGTGTCCGGGCGTCCGGGCGTCCGGGTGCGCGGGTGTCCGGGTGTCCGGGTGTCCGGGTGCCCGGGCGTCCGGGCGTCCGGGTGTCCGGGTGTCCGGGTGTCCGGGCGTCCGGGTGCCCGGGTGCCGCGGGTGTCCGGGTGTCCAGGTGTCCGGGTGTCCGGGTGTCCGGGCGTCCGGGCGTCCGGGCGTCCGGGCGTCCGGGTGCCCGGATGTCCGGGTGTCAGGGTGTCCGGGTGCCCGGGTGCCCGGGCGTCCGGGCGGGTGTCCGGGTGTCCGGGTGTCCGGGTGCCCGGGTGCCCGGGTGCCCGGGTGCGTGGGTGTCCGGGCGTCCGGGCGTCCGGGCGTCCGGGCGTCCGGGTGTCCGCGCGTCCGGGCGTCCGGGTTCCGGGCGTCCGCGGAGCGGTCCGGGGTGCCCGGGAGTCGTGTGCCGGGGTTGTACGGGGGTGTCTGGTGTCCGGGTGTCGGGTGTCTCAGGTGTGTCGGGCGTCCGGGTGTCCGGGCGTCCGGGCGTCCGGGTGCCCGGGTGTCCGGATGTCCGGGTGTCCGGGTGCCCGGGCATCCGGGCGTCCGGGTGTCCTGGTGTCCGGGTGTCCGTGTCCGGGTGTCCGCGCGTCCGGGTGCCCGGGTGCCCGGGTGTCCGGGTGCCCGGGTGTCCGGGTGTCCAGGTGTCCGGGCCGGCGCCCGGGTGTCCGGGTGCCCGGGCGGACGCCCGGGCGGAGGAATAGTCAGATTGTGCCTCATGCTGGGTCATTGGCCCTGCATGCGTTGACCCCTCATGCCAGGGCTTCGGCCCCTCATGCCCTGACCCCCTCTTGCTGGGGCCTTGGCTGGCCCCTCATGCGTTGACCCTCTCATGCTGGGGCATTGGCCCTTCATGCGTTGACCCCTCATGCAAAGGCGTCGGCCTTTCATGCGTTGACACCTCATGCCCTGACCCCCCATGCCGGGGCCTTGGCTGGCCCCTCATGCGTTGACCCCCTCATGCTGGGGCATTGGCCGTTCATGCGTTGCCCCATCATGCCAAGGCTTCGGCCTTTCATGCGTTGACCCCTCATGCCCTGACCCCCCATGCTGGGGCCTTGGCTGGCCCCTCATGCGTTGACCCCCCTTCATTTTGCCAGGGGCTTCGGCAATTTCATGCGTTGACCTCTCATGAAAGACCCCCATGCTGGTGGGCCTTGGCTGCCCCTCATGCGTTGACCCCTCATGCTGGGGCATTGGCCCTTCATGCGTTGGCCCCTCATGCCGGGGCTTTGGCCAATCATGCGTTGACCCCTCATGCCCTGACCCCCCATGCTGGGGCCTTGGCTGGCCCCTCATGCGTTGACCCCCTCATGCTGGGGTATTGGCCCTTCATGCGTTGACCCCTCATGCCAGGGCTTCGGCCAATCATGCGTTGACCCCTCATGCCCTGACCCCCCATGCTGGGGGGCTTGGCTGGCCCCTCATGCGTTGACCCCCTCATGCTGGGGCATTGGCCCTTCATGCGTTGGCCCCTGATGCCAGGGCTTCGGCCTTTCATGCGTTGACCCCTCATGTCCTGACCCCCCATGCTGGGGCCTTGGCTGGCCCCTCATGCGTTGACCCATCATGCTGGGGCATTGGCCCTTCATGCGTTGACCCCTCATGCCAGAGCTTCGGCCTTTCATGCGTTGACCTCTCATGCCCTGACCCCCCATGCTGGGGCCTTGGCTGGCCCCTCATGCGTTGACCCCATCATGCTGGGGCATTGGCCCTTCATGCGTTGACCCCTCATGCCAGGGCTTCGGCCTTTCATGCGTTGACCCCTCATGCCCTGACCCCCTCATGCTGGGGCCCTGGTCCGTCCCCTCATGCCCTGACCCCCCATGCTGGGGCCTTGGCCCCCTCATGCGTTGACCCCCTCATGCCAGGGCTTCGGCATTTCATGCGTTGACCTCTCATGAACTGACCCCCCATGCTGGGGCCTTGGCTGCCCCTCATGCGTTGACCCCTCATGCTGGGGCATTGGCGCCGTTCATGCGTTGCCCCATCATGCCAAGGCTTCGGCCTTTCATGCGTTGACCCCTCATGCCCTGACCCCCCATGCTGGGGCCTTGGCTGGCCCCTCATGCGTTGACCCCCTCATGCCAGGGCTTCGGCCTTTCATGCGTTGACCTCTCATGAACTGACCCCCCATGCTGGGGCCTTGGCTGCCCCTCAGGCGTTGACCCCTCATGCTGGGGCATTGGCCGTTCATGCGTTGCCCCATCATGCCAAGGCTTCGGCGTTTTATGCGTTGACCTCTCGTGCCCTGACCCCCCATGCTGGGGCCTTGGCTGGCCCCTCATGCGTTGACCCCCTCATGCTGGGGCATTGGCCCTTCATGCGTTGCCCCTAATGCAAGGGCGTCGGCCTTTCATGCGTTGACCCCTCATGCCCTGACCCCCTCTTGCTGGGGCCTTGGCTGGCCCCTCATGCGTTTACCCCCTCATGCTGGGGCATTGGCCCTGCATGCGTTGACCTCTCATGCCGGGGCTTCGGCCTCTCATGCCCTGACCCCTCATGCTGAGGCATTGGTCCCTCATGCGTTGATCCCCTCATGCTGGGGCATTGGCCCTTCATGCGCTGACCCCTCATGCGGTGGTTTAGCATGCCACTATTGTTAGGGCACGAAACGGTAAACATTACCCGTGCCTTAAACGACAGCCGTGACAATCCCCCTCCTCCTTCTCCTCCTCCTCTCCTTCCTCCTCCTCCTCCCACCCCTCGTCACTCACCTACCCCCTCGCGCTGAGGTTGCGCGCTCAAGCGCAGGCGTCCGACGACAAGGAAGACAACGAGGACGAGGACGAGGACGAGGAGGAGAACAAGGACGACGACGACGACGACGACGACGACGACGACGACGACGACGACGACAGCGACGGCGATGGCGGCGGCGGCTGCGGCGGCTGCGGCGGCGGCGCCGACGCCGACGCCAACGCCGACTGCGACGCCGACGCCGACGCCGCCACCGACGACGAGGACGACGGCAACGACGGCGACGAATACGTCGACGTCGACGAATACGACGACGACACTGACGCCGATGTCGACGACGACGACGACTTTCTTGGATTCTTCCGCTGAGCAGTGTCCTCGTGCTTGACCGGAAAAGGACGGCTGACACCTTCGGAAGGAGTTAGGAGGGGCAGGAACATTTAAGAATAGGTGGTCTTTTCTGAAGGTGTATCGAACAAACCCGCCAAGAATTGTTATCCCTAATGCGAAGGCGGGGACCTCAGTGAGGCTACATCTTCATCGTGTTATTAGGGCTAAAGAACTTTCACCCTCAATGTCCGTAGGACGACGACGACCAGAATCGTGCGGCCAGCGCCAAGCCCGCGGGTC